CTCTTCCAGCTCGCAGCATCTACCCAAGGGCAGTGAGCTGCACTACAAGCTTCAATAGAATCTGAACAATGTTAAGTGAGTAGGGAAAGCCACTCCCTCAGCCCATACAGAAGCTACTAAGCTTAATGAGCTGGCCCCATGGTTTGGTGATAAATCAGTATTGTATCTATGGGAAAAATGTTTTGTTTAGCATATAAGTGCCTGTTTCTTTGTCATTGCCATTTACTTGCTATGTTCTTAAAAATAAAAATCTACAGCTGAAAAAAAAAAAGAAACTCAGACCGGGCCAGGGAGATGGCTCAGTGGAATAAGCACTTCCTTGGCAAGCGCAAGGACCTGAGTTCAATCCCCGGTTCCGCCAAAAAAAAGGAAACTCAGACCACTGGGGATACAACTGACTTTTACAAAGATGAAGGGGCAAAGATTCCAAGGTATGTTTCTGAACTCTGTTCAAAGGATGATCAGAAGGAGTCCGAGGAATAGGAAGATAATCCAAGAAGGTGTAAGATGTAAAAAGACCGAGCTTCTAAGGATAAAATACAGTCCACAAACTAAAAATACAAAACGCACTAAAATCTAATTTCTAGTTACTTCTTTCGGCTAGCGCGTGGCATTATCCAAAATATCTTTTAAAAGCAAACGCTGTTGTAGGCCTTTTGTCCTGCCTGCCCAGGCAATGGTGGAGTGACAGAAGAGACAGACTCTAGGATGTGTCTGGTAGACAAGAAGAGGTGGAGGTGGATTCTGCACTGCGAACAGTAAACAGGGATGCGGGCATCAACCGGCTCCTCGAGGCTGACGCTCACTCAGGCCGCTTCCCTTCTGCAACGCAGTCAATTAAAAGGTTTTGGCTGCCTTAATTTTTTTTGGGGGGGGGTAACCCGAAGGGGTGCGGGGCTGCATCTGAGAAGGGGGGGGCCAGGGAGGGCCCCCTCCCCAAGTGGGAGCTGCTCCGAGGGAGGTTGGGGGTGCATCCTCCGTGATTCAGTAAATCATGTTCCCAAAGGCCTGGCAGCGAGCGCGGAGCCGAGAGGCCAGGCGGCGGCGTCCCAGCCCCCGGCCTGGTCCTCCCCGAGGTGTCCCCCAGCGGACCCCGCCACGGCCCTCCTCGCCGCCCAACCTCAGCGCGCATGCGCACAGAGCACCGAGGGGGGCGGAGGCCAGCGGTCGGCGGGAAAGGGAGGCTCACCTCGGTATTCCGCCACACGCCCCCTTTGATCATAATTCGAGGCATCTTGGCGGCAGAGTGTGCCGGCGAGCGGCCGAGAAGAGCTTCTGAAACGTAGTAACGGCGGCTCGGTCACCGGACCCGAGCAGCCACTTCCTCCAAGCGCAGCCTTCTGAGCTGAAAGATCTGCGCAGGCGCATTGGCGCGGAGGCGGGAGGACCGGAAAGTCTCGCGAGATCTCTGTGGGTGAAAGGCAATAAAAGCTTGCGGAGAGCTCCGCTTGGTGGCGTACGCCTACAAGCCCAGACCCTGGGAAATGGGAGTAGGAGGGTTGCTGCGAGTTCGAGGCCAACCTGCACTACACAGTGACACCGTGCCTCAAAAAAAGGGCCAGGGGGCGGTAAGATGACTGACAAAACCATCAAGTGCTGAGGCCCAAACGCTCCACATGCTCCATAGACTGAAGGAAACCACAGTACTCCCGGGCTTCCAAAAGTGGACGTTGGCTGGGAACAAGGCCGTGATTGATGGTGATGTCATCCAGCCAGGGGGCGCCTCAACCCAGTAGGTCTGAAGGCAACTTGTTAACTTATTCATGCAGCGCTTTATCAAGCATTTCACTGATAGAAATTTGTTCACAGTCCAGCATAACGGTGCATGCCTGCAATGCCAGCACTTGGGAGACTGAGGCAGGAGGCTCAGCAGGAGTTCGAGTCCAGCCTGCACTGCAAAGTGAGATCCTGCCAAATTAATAAGTAAATAAGTATATTTTAAATTCACAGGCTACTTTGTTTTGGTTTTTTGTTTTGGTTTTGTATTTTAGGGAATACAAAACACCTCTACCGGGTGTTTAGGGTCTCACTGCGTAGATCGGACTCATAGTGATTCACCTGTTTACAGCCTCCCAAGAGCTGAGATTACAGGCGCGCGCCCTTATGCCCAGTCTTCTCAGGCTACTTTGGAAAAGGCACTATCTTTTTTTTATGATTGATTGATTGATTGATTGATTGATTGATTTGGTACAGCATCTCGCTACACAGCTTGGACTCATAGTGATCCCCCTGTCTCAACCTCCCCAGCACTGGATGACAGGCCTGTGCCTCCACCTCCGGTTCTGGTGGCCAGCTCCACGCCCCAGGCTGGTAAGGCATGCCACACCAGGAGTCAAACTCTGGTCTTTGCACTTGCCAGACAGGTGCTTAGACCACCGAGCTATCTTCTGGGCCCCTGCACCATCTTATTTAAGTCTCAGTTGTCCAACCTGTAAAGATAGTACAAACCACACAGGTATACCAATGGGGCCACATGAGACCTGAGACCTTCGGCCCAGCATGCCTATCCACTCTACAATGTGGCCAATGTTGAAACATCTTTGGCACATCTTTGAAATACCTTTGGCACCAGCCCTGGAAGCTATGAAAATATTTATTTGGTGGCTCAAGAAACATCCTGAGTATTTCTACAATGGCTTTCTCTAGATTCATTTCTCTATTTGTCTCTTCTGGCAGAGCTGAAATTTTTTCATATCAAATTTTTTTTTAGATTAGATTAATTATTTTGACCTTCTAATGAAAAATGCTTTCTGATGCAAGGGAGCAGTGTAGCATTGTGAAGTGTGCAGAAGTTTGGTCACCTACATTTACATTTCATTTTGGTCTCTTCTGTAGACTGGTTTGTGTGACTGGTGACAGCCTTTTCTGTCTGTCCTCTTTGTAATGCTTCCCTGAGATCATGTGACCATTACCTCCTGCCCACCCCACCCACACTATCCGCTCTGTTGTTACGTTTATGGACACACAGCCAAGCACGGTGGCGAATGCCTGTAATTCCAGCACTCAGGAGGCTAAGGCAGGCTTGCTGCAAGTGCCAGGCCAGCCTGAGCTACAAAGTGAGCTCAAGGCCAGCCTGAGCTGCCGGATAAGGCTCTGTCTCAAAAAGACAAAAAAAGGGCTGGGAAGATAGCTCAGTAGAATAAGCATGTGCT